ATGTGTGTGTGTGTGTGTGTGTGTGTGTGTGTGTGTGTGTGTGTGCGTGTGTGTGTGTGTGTGAGTGTGTGAGTGAGTGTGTTCTCTCCTTTTTCTGGATTTGTGTTCGCTTGAAATAAGAGTGATTTGAAACGTCAAAGGTACAGTTATTGGTCTGTATTAACTATGTAAGGTAGGCCTTATTAATAATTTTACTGTCTGCTGCTGGACGGTACGCATTTGGGGGGGGGGGGGTTAAAAGGGTTTGTTTATTACTTTATTTCGCGGTCGGGCTATGAGGGGTCGTTCCACTTGCCAAACAATCAAAAGAGAGTCGCATATTGAAAAAAAGTTGAGACCCACTACTCTAGATAGAAGGACATGCAAGGGGGAAAAAATAGGAGAGATAGATAAGAACGTCACAGGTTTTTGGGTAGTTGTTTTGGTTTTTTGTTTGTTTTGTTTCCTTGGGGGTTTTTTGTTTTTGTTTTTGTTTTTTGTTTTTGTTGGGGTGTTTTACGGTGCTCACAACAGCATACAGTCATATGAGCGCACAGGACACACCAAACATTTTCAATTGGTAGGAAATTTTGAATTTTGCCCGAGTCGCGGCCGAAGCCTACTTTTACCGATTTTAGACCACCAAGGGATCTTTAACGTGCGCAACTTGCACTGGGGACCTCCGAGATTTTTCGACCTTGTCAGGAAAGGCTAGGTGTATATCTTAGCTACAATAAGAAAAGGGGTGTGGCTGAAAGACAGCAGTAAGAAGGAGCCACGGAAAAGCAGTAGAAAGGCTGCAGAAAGAGTCAGGAGCCCACAGAAGTGGGCAAAGGAAGCGGCCAGATTTTGATAAAATACAAAAGAGGGGGCAACTACAACAGACCACCCGCCAACCACCCACTCCCTCTTCCTTTTCCACTTTCTTTTTTTCAAAGAAATTACACAGACGCACATGTATACACAAACAGAGAAGAAGAAACCACATACAATAGGAGAAACACTCATAAAGCTTTGCACAATAACGGTGGTACAGCTGAATGTCTGGTGTTAGGTGAAGCTAGTGCAAAGAAATAGCAGCAAATTCCCCTTTCAAATGATGCTGTTAAGAGGCATATTGCACGTATGTCTTCAAATATTAAGGAACAGATTGTAGAGGAAATCAAAGCTGCCTCTATATTCTCGTTCCAGCTTAACGAATCAGTTGATGTGGCTTCGTGCTCACAGTTACTGGTCTTTGTGAGATACGTGCTTGCAAAAAGATGAGAAAGAAGAATTTTTATTTTACACCCCACTGGACCCCACAACAACAGCTAATGATGTCATGAACAAGGTATCCTCATTTATTTTTAAACGAGGGTCTTGAGAGGAAGAATGTGTGTGGTATTTGTACTGATGGTGCCCCAGCCATGATAAGATCTAAGTCGGGCTTTCTGACAAAAGTGCAAGACAAAGCACAACACGCAAAATGCATTTACTGCACGATACATAGATATATATGCACTAGCTTGCAAAACTCTCAATCCCACTTTGAAAGACATGTTGGAATTGACTGTTAAGGTTGTCAACTATGTGAAACGTAGCCCCC